ATTTATAAATATATTAAAGAAACTTCTATATACAGTAGGTCCTCAGGTTACGTCAGAGATCCGTTCCTACGGCGCGATGTAATGCGATTTTCACCATAAGTCGAAATCCACTTACGTAAGCACCTACATCACTCACATGGAGCACATAACAGCAGTAATGAAGTGAAACAGTAAAATAAATTTAAAAGAAAGATAACAATTCCTGACCTTTACTTGTGGTAAATAAATAATAAAAAACATAAAGCACATATACATATGTTGAAATGACGGAACCTCTTTTTAATAAATAAACGGGAGATGGCGATGTAACCACAAAACAACGTACGTCAAGTCCAACATAACCTGAGGACTGGTTGTAATCAGGACAGTGATCATTAGTAAAAACATCTCTAAGTAATCATATATTTTTTAAAAATATATTTTATTGATTTTTTACAGAGAGGAAGGGAGAAGGATAGAGAGTTAGAAACATCAATGAGAGAGAAACATCGATCAGCTGCCTCCTGCACACCTCCTACTGGGGATGTGCCCAAACCAAGGTACATGCATTTGACCGGAATCGAACCCGGGACCCCTCAGTCTGCAGGCTGACGCTCTATCCACTGAGCCAAAGCGGCTAGGGCTAAGTAATCATATTCTTGATTTCTGGTAGTCACATTTGGAAATTGCTTCCTAACAATGATGTGAGAGTTTTTAAACTGTTCCTAGATGCACAAGGGGAGAAAAATCTCTGGGGGAGAAAAATCAGACTGGCCAAATATTTTTTTTTTGCTAGAATCCATCCTGACAGCCCAAACTTAAAATAGTATAAAGAAAAATATTAGACTCTATAAATGTCCCAGAATTTGTCTTTAATTGGGAAAAGAATTAAACACACATGGAACTTTCTAAAATATCTTTAACAAGCCACTTTGGGAGCTCAATTCAGAAACAGAAGTCAATATACTGAAACAGTTATTTCTGTGCAGCTCCAAAATTCTTTATAAATACAGCCATTTGGAAGGATGACCCTGGATCAAAAGTTTTATACCTGTGTATTACATTAGGTGTGCATGCCTCATCTGAGTTGCCATAAATTGTCTCTGTAATTTCCTCCTGAGTAGCAGTCCTAACCACCCTGACTACCACCATAGTCTCTGGAGCTTCCATATCCATATCCTAGGTCCATGGTCGGCAAACTGCGGCTCGCGAGCCACATGCGGCTCTTTGGCCCCTTGAGTGTGGCTCTTCCTAAGCCTTAGGAGTACCCTAATTAAGTTAATAACAATGTACCTACCTATATAGTTTAAGTTTAAAAAATTTGGCTCTCAAAAGAAATTTCAATCATTGTACTGTTGATATTTGGCTCTGTTGACTAATGAGTTTGCCTACCACTGCTCTAGGTTGACTGTCATACCTGCCACTCCCATATCTCGGTCCATGCCCATGGGCCCCAAAGTTTGGTTCTCTGGGCAGACTTGCCTACATGGTTCACACAGGTCTGGCAACAGTCCAGAGACTCTCCATTCAGGGCTCTCATGGCATCTGAAGCATTCTTTGGACTGGTGAAGGTAATGAAGCCAAAACATTGGGATCACTGAATCTCTGGTCCTGGACAACAACGACCTCAGAAATAGTCCTGAAGCTGAAGTGATCTTCCAGAGCCTACTCATCAGTGTTGAAATTGAGCCCTCCAACCAAGAGCTTCCCTCCTTCAGAGGACATGCAATGAATCTGAGTCCTGGAAATTAAGAAGCAAAAGGGTTGAGCATCGACCTCTGAACCAGGAGGTTACGTTCGATTCCTGGTCAGGGCACATGCCTGGGTTGCCAGTAGAGAGTGTGCAGGAGGCAGCCAATCAATGATTTTCTCTCATCATTGATGTTTCTATCTCTCACTCCCTCTCCCTTCCTCTCTGAAATAAATAAAACATAAAATAAAATCAACAAAAAATAAAAGGGATAGATGGAACGTTAGCACTGAACTTCTTTACGAACATTGTTAACCCGTCATGTCTACTAAGTTCAAAGCCATGAGAATATTCAAAGTACAACCTACAAAGCAGTTATTTAAGATTACTATAGAAACATACAAACTGGGAGTGCTGAGAAAATGGTGAGATGAAATGGCAGTATAAATGACTCTAGGAAAAGAATCATGTGACATGTGAAAGATAATCATAATACATGTCTGCAGTGGATGACGATCAGCAACAGAGCATAAAAGTACTTCAGGAGATAAAAGCAACTCTTGAGTTTGATTTGCAACAATGTTGGATGACTGTTCAATTAATTCAGAAGTTGAGCACTCAGACAAATTAGGTAAATCTGGTTCTAATCTATAATAATAAAAGCATAATATGCTAATTAGACCGGACATCCTTCTGGATGACCTTCCAGACAAAGCCAGGGCTGCAAGGGAAGCCCAGGTCCCAGGTGCTGGAGGAAAGCTTCATTCCCGGGTGCCAGAGAGAAGCTGGTGCCGGCAGCTGGGGGAAGGAAGGCCTACTCTTGCATGAATTTCGTGCATTGGGCCTCTAGTAAAAAATAAAACAAGCTAGATAATTTCTATGGATTCAACTTATTCGAATTGAATGTACAATCAGCATAAGTGGTGGAACCTTTAGAATAGAATTCACCTGCTGCTATGGGATTCTTTGTTAGAAGACATTATAATTAGGTGTGTGGTTTGGGGGAAGAAAAGTTTTTTATGTTTCTCGGAAGGTTCTCTCTTGGGCCCATTCCTTTTTAGTATGTTCAACTTAAGCAAATTAATTTTTTGGATTCTTTATCTGTAAAACTGAGGATAATAATAAATAATAGTATCCTCATAAGGTGTTTGGGAAAATTAAATGAGTTAATACATATGAAGTACTAAGAAAAGGACATGGAACAGAGGAGGGGCTTACTTATTAGCTATGGCTATTATTACTAACACTTTTTCCAGGCAAACTCATTATGTCAACTATTACTGGGAGCTTTATGATTTCTAAGTCTATCAGACATCTTGGTCCTATTATTTCATCTACCTAATAGGCATCTCTGCTTGGATATATAAATGGCACCTCAAGTGAAATAAATCAACTACCTAGAATAGGATTTCGGCTCTGGCCAGTTTGGCTCAGTTGTTTGGAGTGTCATCCAATACACTGAAAGGTTGCGGGTTCAATTTCTGGTTTGGGCACATACCCAGGTTTCCGGTTCAATCCCTGGTTGGGGTGGGTATCGGAGGCAACCAGCCAATGTTTCTCTCTCTCTTTCTCCATTTCCCTCTTACTAAAATCAATCAATAAGCATGTCCTCAGGTGAGGATTAAATTAATTAAAAAATAGGATTTCCACCCCAAACGAGGTTCTTTTTACATGCATGTTAATGTATGTCAGTCACGCTGGTAACCTCAGACTCATCATTTCCTTTTCTCTTGTTCACATCCAATATGATTGAAATAGAACAAAATGCTGTTTTTTCCTTTTTATAAAGGCAATACTTGTTCATTGTAGAAAACTTGGAAAATATGGAAAAATAAAAAATATTATCCATAACAATAACATCCTAAACTTTGTGTTAAGAATTTCAACATAATTTTCTATTTTCCCAGATATTCAAGAGCCTACTGTATATATACATGTGATCTTTTAAAATCTAAAAATGTCTTCACTATTGGAAACATTTTGTAAAACTTGTTTTCAACTGAGATTTTAAAATTCAAATTCTAAAAGAAAACATTTTTGAAGGTTTGGAAAATACAGATAACTCAACATCTTGAGATGATTACTGTTAACATTTTGGTGTACCCTGTTTTGCTACTGAAATATAAATTTGGGGGGCATTCATATGTATGTACACATAGGTGTAATATAGTTATAAAAGTCCAAAAACAGTATTTGTGGCCTACCTTAAATTATGAACTTCTAATTTTTCATATGCTTTTAAAAGCATGAATTAAATTTAACATATATGCTTCATACTCATACATGTCCAACATAATATATTTAACCAATTGTCTCCAAAAGGTTCCAATTGGAACACGCTCACCAAAATGGCCTGAGTGCTAAAGAGAACAAAAGACCAAAACTTTTGAGAACACATCAGGTAAAAGATCATTTCATTGATATAGTTCAGCAATTTTCAACCTTTTTCATCTCATGGCACACATAAATTAATTATTAAAAATTCTGTGGCACACTGAAAAAAATAATTTTTGCTGATCTGACAAGAAAAGGTATGATTTTGATTCATTCTAGATGACTATTGTGTGGGCTGTTGTCATTTTTAAAATATTTATTAAAAATATTTTTATTGGCTTCAGAGAGGAAGGGAGAGGGAGAGAGATAGAAACATCAATGAGAGAATCATTGATCAGCTGCCTCCTGCCTGTCCCACACTGTGGATTGAGCCCACAACCCAGGGATGTGCCCTTGACTGGAATTGAACCTGGGACCCATCAGTCTTCAGGCCGAAGCTCTATCCACTGAGCCAAACCAGCTAGGGCTGTTGTCATTTTTTAAAATAAATATTTTTTATTCTTAATATGTTTTTTATTGATTTTTAAAGAGAGAAGAGAAGAGGCAGGGAGATAAAAACATCAACGAGTTGCCTCCCTTAGAACCCCAGGGGTGGGGTATCAAACCCTCAACCTGGGTATGTGCTCCGACAAAGAATCGAACCAGCAACCTTTCGGTGCACTGGCCCACGTTCAACCAAGTGACCCACACCAGCCAGGGCTGTTGTCATTTTTTTTACTTGGCAATCTAAGGGAAAATAGGTCATTACCCCTGATTGAATAATCAGGTAGTGCATGCTTTAAAAATTCTTGCGGCACACCGCTGAAAATCGCTGATCTAGCCTAGTCCTTAGCCCATGTCTGATAAACACTTGTTTCCCAGACCAGCGCTGCTCATTCTCTGACAGCAAATAGGAATGTGACTTGTGACCCGCAGGCGCGGAGCCCGGGAGAATGGGGCCAGAAGGAGGTGCCATCAGGATGAGCGCTGCGCGAAGTACGACGTGGGAGGTGCGCAGTGGGAGTGCGGCCGCAGTCGTGGGCGAGGCGCATAGTGCTGACGCAAGACGCACGCGGGGTGGTCCTCTCCTCTGCCGGAGACGGCGCTGCGTCACTGGCTTTAGGCGCTCGGCGACTGGAAACGGTGACTGTTTGGGCCTCAGCGCTGGCCTGTCGCGCCCTGGGGTCCAGGCTGGCGGCGCGATGAGGCGCAGCAAGGCGGAGGTGGAACGGTACATCGCTTCGGTGCAGGGTTTCACCCCGTCGTCCCGAGAGGTGAGCGGGTACTGAAGAGACGGGTGGCTTCCGCCCAGGCCTGGCCGTGGCCCCGCGTGGCGCTCGCCTCGCGCCCGCCTCTCGCCCTCCTCATGGCTCACGGCGGCCGCCGCTCCCCGGGATTTCTGTTGAGACGCCGGCCGGCTTGCGCGGTCCGATGGCGGCGTGGGGTTCTCGAGCTTGAGGGGCACTGGAGGAGGGGTGAGGCCGCGGCGGGCGGCCTTGGGTTGCCAGCGCTTCCTCTTTCTCTGGCCCCTTCTGACTCACCCGTGGGCCCAGCCTGGCCCGGGTTTCCTTGGGCGCGGGCGGCCCGCGAGGCCTCGTCCCCGGGCGTGGGCGCCTCCCACAGCCAGCGGGGTTCTTTTCGTCTCCTGGACAGTTACCCGCCGCGGCGGAGGCGGCGCCTTCCGGCTTTGGAGGGTGGTGGAACCCCGCGGGGATTGGCACGGCTCCGGGTGGGCCCTTGCTGCTATGACGGACCAGTGTGGGCGTGCAGGTGACCCGCAGCAGGGACAGTCACGTGTGCAACTGCCTGGCTGGTAGACCGCGCAAAGGATACTGGAAGTGCTCCTTGTTTTGAGGCGGGTTCCACCTCCCGCCCCAGCACTCTGAAAACTTGTGTGTTTTTTTTTTAAAGTAAAACGGAATCTTGGGAATTCTAAGTTTCTTGCAGGGAGTTGTTACTATGCCTTAAAAATTTTGACTTTTTCGACCACATGCTCTTAGAGCATTTTTGCTCTTTTAAAATAAATACTGTACTAGATAAATTTTGTGTTCAACGTGACTTTAGTGATTGTGTGTGTGTAGTGTGAGGAAAAAGGAATTAAGGGTGGCTGTACACAGAATCTTGAGTCGGTTTGCCTGTGGTTGAAACTACTATTTGGTTTATAAGCTGTGGGACTTGAGACAAGTTGAACGTATTTCATCAATAAGATGGAGTTTTTTTTTTTTTTTTTATAGGAGCATGTAGGATAATCCATGCTGAGCGTTTAGGGCAATGCTTGGCACACAGTAAGCACTAAATGAATGTTGATGTTAAAAAGAATCAGTCATTCTGACCTGTTGTGGGCAAGGACCTATAAGAATAAAAATAAGTGAGGTAATTTTTTAAAAAATATCCCCAAAACTCAAAGAGGATCAACACATAATTGTATCTTTTGTCATATACTGGACATTTGTTATCTTAATTTGTGCTCCCAACAACCCTGTGGATATTGACACCCGGAGAAATTAAAGATACTTATTCAAGTTCAATAGGTGTTTCAACAGGACTTTGATAGTGGGTCTGATTTAGTATTTTTTAGGAATAGTGGAGTAGGTTACAGCCTGTTTCTTCAGAGAAGAATGGGTACCTACAAATTGCTGGTGTAGTCATGAACACATGTGGTGTCCGAATATAAAACAGAACCTTACTAAGGGTTTTTGTACCCTTGAAATTGATACGATGCCCCCCTCCCATGGCAAATGGGTTTTATTTATTTTATTTTTATAATTCTTTATTGTTTAAAGTATTAGATACCACTTTTGTTTTTAAAAGCAGGTTTAGCCCTAACCAGTTTGGCTCAGTGGATAGAGCATCGGCCTGCGGACTCAAGGGTCCCAGGTTCGATTCTGGTCAAGGGCATGTACCTTGGTTGTGGGCACATCCCCAGTAGCGGGTGTGCAGGAGGCAGCTGATCGATGTTTCTCTCTCATTGATGTTTCTAACTCTCTATCCCTCTCCCTTCCTCTCTGTAAAAAATCAATAAAATATATTTAAAAAATGTTTCTAACTCTCTATCCCTCTCCCTTCCTCTCTGTAAAAAATCAATAAAATATGTTAAAAAAAAAAAGACAGTGGAGGGCACCCTCAAAGGCTCTAAGGGAGAACCATTCCTTGCCTTTAAAAAAAAAAAAAAAAAAAAAAAAAAAGCAGGTTTAAAGCTTTCATGAGATTGTTAGTGGGCACTCTTGCTCCTCAAAATTAAGAACCGCTATTCTAGACAGAAGTTAGAATGTTCTTTGAATTACCTAGCTCTTCTATCACATAAAGAGGGTTGGAGGCAAATTTTTAAGGATTGGTTATTATGGCCATCTCTCTTTTACATTTATTTATTTTTAAAAATATATGTATTTTATTGATTTTTTTTACAGAGAGGAAGGGCGAGGGATAGAGAGTTAGAAACATCAATGAGAGAGGAACATCGATCAGCTGCCTCCTGCACACTCCCTACTGGGGATGTGCCTGCAATGAAGGTATATGCCCTTCACTGGAATCGAACCTGGCACCCATCAGTCCGCAGGCGGACTCTCTATCCACTGAGCAAAACTGGTTAGGGCTCTCTTTTCCATTTAAAGAGTATTATTTTAATCAGATGTTTTTCTTCAAACAAGGAGAAATAGTTTACTTTAGAGCCTGGTGGAACTCATGATGGCATTCGTTAAACTTGCCTCTAAGTGAAATGACAAAAATGGGTGCTTTGGATAACAGAAGGGAGGTGGTGGAGGCAGCTGTGAAGAGTAGAAAGACTAGTATTTACTTGGCTCCCATTTGGCAGAGACTGGCCCTGTGTGAACTGATCATGCTTTCTAGGTTATCCTATTTCTGGAGTGAGGTGTTGGGTTCATATTCTCAGATTTTCCCTTGCTGCCATTTGTTCATCTCTTGTTTTGCCATTTTTCTTCTTCTTTACACCAGCCCTTGTTGAAATTTTCACTTGTGCTTCTTTAATTTTTATTTTTCCACATGGCTTCTATTTAGTTTTTTAGATTTCTGTCTAGTTAGCTTTTCATTCCAGACCCCTGATTCCTACTCCTCGGAAGCAATTTGTCAACTCTTACTTGTTTGCCCTACCATTCAGCTGTACTTCTGAATAACGTGTATACTTTTTTCTTTTTTTTTTTTTACAGAGAGGAAGGGAGAGGGATAGAGAGTTAGAAACATCGATGAAAGAGAAACATCGATCAGCTGCCTCCTGCACACTCCCTACTGGGGATGTGCCTGTAACCAAGGTACATGCCCTTGACCGGAATCGAACCTGGGATCCTTCAGTCCGTAGGCGGACACTATCCACTGAGCCAAACCGGTTAGGGCAGTGGTTCTCAACCTTCCTAATGCCGCGACCCTTTAATACAGTTCCTCATGTTGTGGTGACCCCCAACCATAAAATTATTTTCGTTGCTACTTCATAACTGTAATTTTGCTACTGTTATGAATCGTAATGTAAATATCTGATATGCAGGATGTATTTTCATTGTTACAAATTGAACTTATTTAAAGCATAGTGGTTAATCACAAAAACAATATGTAATTATATATGTGTTTTCCAATGGTCTTAGGCGACCCCTGTGAAAGGGTCGTTCGACCCCCAAAGGGGTCCTGACCCACAGGTTGAGAACCACTGGGTTAGGGCAACATGTATACTTTTATTTCTTGATCTTCTCTCCATTTTAGACACTTTCTGCTCTGTTCCTCCAGACGTCTGCCCACAGATGTTTTTTCCCACCCCTTGTTCTTCCAGAACTGTTTCTGTAATTTTTAGTTAAATGAATATTTAGTGTTTATATAATTACGAGAAAGTATATGTCTTTGAACTTGAGTTGTCTTTATTGTGTTATTTTTTTCTGGAGTTAACAATTGGTTTATTTTTTGGTGTGTTTAGCTTTCGGTGATGTATTATTAATTCTTTACTCAAACCCAATTTAAACTCTCAAGTGTGATCAAACAATTCACATCACCCACAATTTCAAGTTAAAAAACATTTTTTTTTTTTAAGTGTATTCCTTCTGGAGCACTCTTGTTTTACTGCTCCAGCCTGGAGTGGTTTCTGTTTCTCTGCTACACAGCTGTGTTCCTGGGACTTTTCCTTTATCATCATTTTGAGAAATCCCTTCACTTTTCTGTGTTAGACTTTTGGTTTCTTGTAACTCTTGTCCTCTTACTTCCTCTGTTTTGGTTTAGCACAATCTCCAGTTTGCTTTGAGAAGGAATGAGGGGGGAATTTTTAACATAGTGTGTCTGATTACCTAATTTAACTGATAGTTTGGTTATCAGATTCTAGATTTGAAATAATGTTTTCCTTAATTTTGAGAGCATTGCTTAATTTTCTGATCTTTTGTACTATTGTTAGATGTTTGATGTGATTCTTGTTGATAGCTTATAGGTTTTCTGAAGATTCTTTTCAATTGGCAAACTTATTTCTTTCAGTTCTGGGACATTTCTTTGAGCCACTGTCTGTCTCTTTTTTCTGTCATCTTTCAGATGTGTTTGCTTGTTTATTATTCAATATTGTTCTTCTCTTTTTAATAGGCTTTGTTATTGATTTTAGAGAAAGAGGAAGGGAGAGAGAGAGAGAAACATTGATGAGAGAGAAACATTAATTGGCTGCCTCCTGCACACCCCCTACCAGGGATGGAGCCGGCGACCCAGGCATTTCAACCTTTTGGTACCAGAGACTACACTCAACCAACTGAGCTACACCAGCCAGGGCTCAATATTGTTCCTTAGTAATTTCAGATATACAGCATAGTGGTTAGAAAATCGTGTACTTTACAGAATGGGCCTTCTGTTGCTTCACGTACCCACCTGTCCCCATACATAGTTATGATACTAGAGCAGTGATGGCAAACCTTTTGAGCTCGGCGTGTCAAAATTTTGAAAAACCCTAACTTAACTCTGGTGCCGTGTCACATATAGAAATATTCATAATTTTTTTTTTGATATTTGCAACCATAGTAAAAAAAAGATATATATATATATATATTTTTTTTAATTAAATCTTTATTGTTCAGATTATTACATTAGTTACTCTTTTTTTCCCACCATAACTCCCCTCCACCCAGTTCCCACCCCACCCTCCGCCCTCACTCCCCACCCACTGTCCTCATCCATAGGTGCACGATTATTGTCCAATCTCTTCTGTCACCACCCCCCCCCCCCAAGAATAGTCCATTCCCTTTCTATGTCCCTGATTCTATTACAATCACCAGTTCATACTGTTCATCAGATTATTTATTCACTT